GGTGTGGGTTACCATTCCTCTGCCTTTGTTCCGTATCTCATGTGTTCACAGGTGCTTCCTTGGTGAGTTGGGGGGGGGAGCTTTCCTCAATTCCTGAGAGATTTCTGGTTGGTGGTCAGTTGAGGAGGCTACTCCTGATACCAATAACCTAGAACTTTTGGCAGTTTGTCAGGTTCTGTATCATTTCCTCCTGCTCCTGTGGGAGTGGGTGGCTATGGATCATTTCAACAATTCCACTGTCTTAAGCTATATCACCGAGCAAGAGGGAACCAAGTACAGATCTCTGTGTTTTCAGACTTTACATCTCCTGTACTTGGCCAACGACATGACATTCCTGGCATGTCATCTCCTGGAATTATTAATCTTGTATGAGATTGCTTATCTCATCCCAACCAGGTTCTCCTCATGTAGTGGTCCATTCATCCTCAGGTATTTTGATGGGTGTGTTCTCAACTGGGAACACTGTATATAAATGCATTTGCCAATTCACTGGAATGTCAAACTTCCTTCCGTTTGGTTTCCAGTTCCACAACCCTTGGCTGTGGGGGTGGATACATTCAGTCAAGATTGGAGGGGTTTTCATCTATATGCCTACCCTCTGATTAGATTCCTCTCCAGAGTCATTTAACTTATCCAGACCACTCTTTGTCATGTTCTGCAAGTTGCTCTGTATTGGCTGGCTCAGATGTGGCTCCCTCTGTTCTGGCCCTTACTGGAGCAACAGCCCATGCCATTACCTTTATCCTGGCCTCTCCTCCAACCATCGTGTTTGGATGTATTTCATCCCAACATCATCAATCTCTATCTTTGTAAATGGTGTTTGTCTGGTCCCTTGCCTCAGCTCAAGGACTCACCCCTCATGTAACATCTTTCCTTGCCCATACCATTCGACCTTCCTCCTTTTTTGTGTACCAGAGGTGGTGTTCTTTCTTCAGACTTTGGTCCATTCACTGTGGCTTCTGCCCATCCCATCCTTCTGTTCCTCATCTGTCCCAGTTCTTCACCTAGTTGTTTGGTCAGGGTTTGTCTGTGTCAACTGTTGCTAGTTGTAGGGCTGCCCTATCGAATACCTTCCATTTCTCCTGTTTCAGAAAAGCTTTCTCCTTGCTGGTTATTTTCCTCCTTTTCCATTCCTTTCATCTGATCCATCTGCCACATCCCTTTGTTCTGCTGGATTGGGATCTCAGTGTGGTCCTTCATGACCTGTCTGATTCTCCCTTTGAACCCATTGCAATATGTTCCTTGTACCATCTTTCCCTTAAGACCTATTTCCTCCTCCTCCTGGCAATTGGTCATTGTTATTTTGAT